ATGTCACTATACAACAATTTTTTTATAATGCAAAGATGATAATTTCTAGGATACACATCGTGGTTATGTCATGATATATCATGTGTTTTTCAATTAGAGTGTAATTAATAAATCAACTCTTCATATTGTAGGAAGCTTAGATAAGTGTTCCACTTGAAGCTTTAGCACAAGCCTTTCGTGTTACCTAAAAGTATGAAATCTTAAGTATTAGTATACTATCACAAAAACAATTTTTAGTGATGGTGGCAAAAATATAATTATCATTAAATTAATCATAAACTACATGATTTTGTGACCAATAATATTAATCGTTAAAATTTATTATTAGTCATTATTTTAATAGTCAATAAAAATAATTAATCCATAATGGTATTAGATGTTCCTTATAGTCAATTAGTCCTTTATTTAATCTATGATGTTATAATCCAATAATGTATTGAGCTCTCCTTCTTATTGGTTTGTCTCTGTCTCTTGAGCTTTATCATTTGTGCATTTACTTTCTATTCAATCTAGGGGTTTTGTGTTTCAATTTTGATTTTTGTTTTTTATTATGCATTTCTATGAACAATTTTTGTTGAATTGTGTGTATATATGTGTTCGTTCCCATTTAGGTTGTGATGATTGATTATTAATCTTCTTCCCTTTATTGTAATGGTTTTGTTCTTATGCACTCATTTTTGTCGCAACATAGGAAGGATTGTAACCATTTATGCATTGGATGATTATTACTCAATACACTAAGTTTCTATTTCTTGTTTTTGTTTTTTCCCTTGTTGCATTTTCTGATTTAGAAGTTTTACTGTTATTTGATGGACGCGTTAAGATATTCTCTATTTCTCCATTTCCGTGCATGACCAATTCTCCTTATCTTTTGAAAATGTTTTGCTTTGCTATATTGAAGAAGTAGATTTCTAAGATAGCAATATATATAAACTAATTAGCTTGCTTGGAATTAAGTAGTCTTGACCTACCATTTTGAAGTATTAAAAAATATGTCTTGTCTAGATATGACACTACAGTAGTAGATGTATAAGCTACAAGAAAAATCCAAATGGAAGGCACAAACATCCATTAGAAAACACAGTAGTTAGAAACAACCAAAGGCAGAGAGTAAAACAATTTGTGTAAAAATACAAGTGAAATGTATGCCTATATATAGATACTAACATATTATTGCACATAAGATGCTTAAGTAAAAGAGGGTTAAAAAGAGCAATATTTATTTGAAACATGTTTAAAATATACAAATTTAGCACCCCATATCAACCTGTATAATGAGAGTTTAAAACATACCATTGTAGTGAAAATATCTTTGGATAATAAAATGATTTTGTGGTTTGAATAAAGTGTGGAATTGCATGGAAGAGGTAATCCATGCTAACTTCCTTGGCGGAGAGGGAAGGGGATAAATGGCAAAATAACAATACCTTTGACCCTATGACTATGAAGCGAATTGAAGTTTTTTCAACATTAATGTTAAGTTGATGAAAGAGATACTTACTATTCTAGTAAAATATATGTCAGCAATTCAAAATCCACTATTCAAGGTGTCCAACATTGCATTCTCTATTCTTTTAGTTGTCTTGTATTCATTCTCCTAGGCCATAACTTAAAAGCATAGCAACACTAAGACCAATAGCAAATGGATTTGCCTTGTCTTGTATACAAATAATTGAGTTGTTATTAGGCATGTAGGTTGAAGAAAATGAGAAAAAACAAAAGTACAAGAAATCATACTTTAAGCATAATCCTCCAACTATCTTTTTAGTCTCATATTAAGAATGGGGTAATTTTACTCCCTCGAGTAATGCATCCTTTAATAGTCTACGTAAAGTATTAAAAAATTCATTTGTCCATTTGAACATCAACTTTATATGGTATATATGTCGTAGAAAAGAAAGCTTGCTGAATTTCTTACATTCAAGATATAATTCTTCATTGACATCCTTCATTAATTGGTCAAACTTATTCACAATTAGAATGTTTTCTCCCAAATTTGACTCACTATCATCCATTTCACTGTTATTAGTGAATTGGGTAAAGTCTCCAAAAGCATCATTTATCATTCTTACCATGTCATCCCCCTTAAAGTTTTCACTTTATTATTACTTTCTTTACTACAATTTGGCATATTTATCGACTCCCCATCAAAAAACCAATTTTCATATGATGGACTTCTCATAAATCTCAATTTTGTTTATGTCTTCAAAAACTTCAAAATTAATGAGATGACATGATGAAGAACGTAATAAAGATGGAGTTTTACAACATCCAAAGATTATGAAGCATGGAAAAGTTTTGACAATAATCATCTAGATTTTTCTAAAAATCCTTGTAATATTCACTTAAGATTAGCTAGTGATGACATTAATCCTTTTGGTAAAGTCCAAGGAGACCTTCCTGATAATTTTCTCGCCCTCATCTTAATAGAGTTAATAGATTAGTGGTCCACCGAACTATATTATTACACTAGTTCATTAGTGAAGTGTTCTGATAAAAAAAATAATTCAGTGCAGTTTTGGCCATAATTAATAGTTCAGTTATCAATGATTAGTACAGTTCAGTTATAATTTAGTTAATAATTTTTAATTTTTTTTAACAGGTTCATCATGGGATCATTAGATATGACTGTGAGATATCTATATTCGATGAAGGATCGACTTGCCTAATAAGGTCTCATCACTGTACAATTAAAAGAAAAATGTGATAGAATATGGAAGAGGCCTCACCAAGGACTAGGAGGGTTGCGTTTGAATTGTTATAGAATGTCTCTCAAGGGGTGTGGCCATACTTGTTGATGTCTGAGGTCTGTCCTAATTTTTAGGGGATGATCCTCCTAATTTATTTTTTTGGGCTCTAATTAGGTTAGTCACCTTTGTTTGAGTCAGAATTTTTGTTAGGTTATTAGGTTTTGTGGCCATCTTGGAACAAAATCCAATCTAAAATTCATATAATTGAAGAGGCAATGACATAATTAATTTTAAAAGCAATTTTTGGTTATGTTTGTCCTAACTTTTTCAAAGCTTAAAAGTTACTTTAAGGTTAAAACTAAAAATAACATTCTAATATAATAGAGGCAACTTTATAAGAACTAAAATAAAATATTTTTAAATTAAAAAACTAAAAAAATATTTTAAAATTTAGACACTACAAAAATTACTTTATATATTTGGGAAAAAGAATTGAATCAATTTGCAGATAAAAATATATTTAAAAAAAAAATTTAAAAATCAATTGTCCACCTAATTCAGTACGTATTTTCATGTGGCATAATAGATGTCATTAGCCACAACAGTAACGAGAGTAACATCATTGCGAGAGAATAAAATGAACTATTTTTAAAGTTTGAGGATAAAACGAAATACTTTTTAATTCTAGATAAAAATAAACTTAACGCATATTTATGGGACCGGAAAATATTGATTTTAAATAAAATCATTTTTTTACTTGATAAAATCAAATACTTAATATATATAGTATCAGATAAGACATATGACTTAATGGTAATGAGAATAATTTCCAAAAAGTTTCTTGTTTGAGAATAACTCTTAAAATTATTTTCAATTAAGAATAACTTTAAAAAATTATAGTTCAATAATTAATATTTGATTTTGTTGGGGCACTCGAAATAAAATCTCTCGAATTAATCTCTCGAAATCTACTCGAAAAAAATCAAAAGGGATACATGCCATATAAATAAAGATCAAGCTAGGCTAAAATAATGTGGGCGTTCGAGGGTAGGTTGAGTAAGTTCTAATATAATATTGTTTGAGCAGTTTAGGACAGTTATATCAGGGCGGTTACTAAGCCTAGTCGAAGAAATAAAGAAACGTGGGATCAAAAGGTTACAAGAGGTTACACGTAAATCGCGTAATTGGCGTAGTGGACAACGGTTATGCACCCACGATGAACTTGCACAGAATTAACCGTCCTCGGCTGGTTCTATAAATATGATAAACATGTCACTTGACGGAGGTCAGAAATTTCATACTTGCACTTTTGTAAGCACTTTTTGCCTTTACATATAGCTTCCGTGCATGAGATTGCTGTTGATTATGGTTTCTTGGCCACATTTTGCTTTCTTTTCGTAGAATTAGTGTAGTTTAGTTTAATTTCGTAATTCGTAGTTTGTTGTCCTTAAAATCATCATTTTGTAACTCGATAATTATGTGAATTGAATCATGATTTGTATTGCTAATATATATTGTTCTCTTCATTCATTTAAATGTTTATATGGGCGAAAATTGTTATTTCATAGTTGTATATGAAACTCTGGAAACTAATTATTAATTACTCTGTTTTATTTATTTCCGTTCTTAAGAGAGTTTAATTATAAAATACCTAAATTGAAACGATTGTGTGCTAGTTTAAATAAAAAGAACTCATAAACCAATTCCACCACAAACAGATTCACATTTGTAATAAAAAAGTAGATTATTTTTTTGTTGTTTATCAAAATGAAGCCAGCATCAGATTCCTGCTATAGGATCCCCTACATGGCATTCGAATTCCTCAAATAGTTCTAGCGCATTTAAAGTTTTTTTATTTTGAAAGTTTAATAAAATTATAACTTGTAGGAGTTTGTAATTAATTTACCCTCCTCCCAATTAATCAAAGCCGAAAAGGAAGAGTTCATTCTTCTGTTAGTGTTGCTATATTAGCTTCTTATCTCCTCATATATATGACTAAAATTATTTTGGTTCGTCTATGATTAAAATCGAATAACTGTGGAATGATTTTTTCCCCCTCATCTTTGTTCAAGTTAATTCATCCAATTGATGTAACGTGTCTGATATGGCGGAAAATTAGGGTAATTAATTAATACCACCAACAGTCGATGATCACACTTCACACCATATATAAAGCATGTTCTTCTTATTATATGTTTTATTCTTTTTCCTTTTGCTATATTTATGGTCGATCCATGTTTATTATTCACTGGGAGGTTCTTCTTAAATCTCGAACTTCCAAGAATGGTTACAAGCTTCTAAGAAGAGATATAATAAAGAAAAACATCACAATAAATTATAATAAGTTTATCGATCAGATCTTAATCTTATCTAAGTATATGCAGCACTAATGATATAGAATCAGAAATATTTTAAACTGTAAATAGTAAATAATATACACACACATAGTCACACATATGTACACGATGGAGTTTTTATTTTAGGGTTACTGAATATTAATATATAGTCACAGATGCATATATGAAGGTCCATGAGAATTGGAATGGATTTTGGGCCTTTTGTAGGTCCAAATACCTCATTAATTAGTAATTAGTGATGTCACGTGTGATTGATAGAGCCTAAGAACATTAAGGTTCTTATGGGGTCTTCGGCACGGTGGCTCCGCCTCCGTCGCCTCTCCGTTTGGTTATACTTTAGAAGCCTACCTTGCTTGGCGGCGTCGGCGGCGTCATCAACGTGATGGAGCTTCTCGCCGACGGATCTTCTCAACTCATTCGCCACAGAGCTTTCGCCGGAGATGTGTGGTTTCATCCTATGCCTTCCACCCAGACTAAGATAGTAGAACATTGCGTCAAGGTAGTGTCCCTTTATATAGAAATTATAAGTCTTGTGTAATACTCCCCCAAGAAATTAATTGTGTAATTTTTTTTCATTTTCTCCTTTCATAAGGAGACAGTCTATTCAAATTGTATGTATGTGTATATTTTTTATATATATATAAAAAACTCTATTCAAATTAGGTAGAATTATGAGGATTGAGAAATTTATTTTTTAAATGAATTTTAAATTATTAGTATAACTAAAATACAAGTTTAATTTAATTTCAATTACAAATTTTACATTAAAATGTGGCCAAGGCGTAAAGAGATAATTGCATATATTTGTCGAATGGACATTGAACAGTACTATAAACTGGACTCCAAAGTGCATGCTGGGTCACTTGTCTGTTGTCTCGTTGATAAGCCTCAAGATTCCTTGTAGTTTTGGATAAGAGAGGAAGGATTATCCACAAAAATATTCATATTTTTTTTTTGTTATATATTCTTAAGTAATGATTTAAAAATAATATAACAAAAAGGTTAAAAATCTCTTTTGGTCCCTTATAATATTTTTTTGTTTCAATTTAGTCCTATTTTAATTTTATGTCTAAATTTGATCCCTAATAATTTAAATCATTATAATTTGGGACTTCTGTCTAAATGATTTAAATGGAGTTAACTGGTGGCCACGTGGATACCAGGTGGATGCCACGTAGGTGGATCCCAAAATACTTGAATATACCTGGAACCAGAACGGCCCGTTCTGAAACCAGAATTTCGTGCAAAAAAACCCAAAGTACAAAACATTTCATACACTAGATTTGGTAATATTGTTAATGGGGATTGATAACTTCAATTACTAAATATTTAGGCTATACAGTGTATCATTAAGGACGATGCAGTGTATCACTAAGGACAATGGTAACAAGTTTTATTTCATTGTTAGTCAAACTGGAGTGAACCACTTACTACCAAATTGACACTATACAGTCAAGGATGAAACGAAACGGTGTTTTCCCTTGAAGTCATTGATGATGTACCTCAACAATAACAACCTGTTCTTGAGGAGGTACAACCTGAATTTTTGTGATTTAGGGTTTCCCTTCAGCGTTACCTAGATGATTTCCTTTCTCAATAATTTCTTTGAACTTTTTTAGTATATATTATGTTCTGAATTTTTGTTTTCAGTTTCTGAACCATATTTCTGTCTTTGAATTTATGATATATTATGAATTTTTATTTTCAATTTTTGAATCACATTGCGGCATTTTAGTCAAGATTTTGAACTAGATAAGTTCAAATCAAAGAAGAATTTTGGAAAGTCTTATCTTATTTGATTCTTTTTTTTTTTATAGTTTTATTCATAAATGAATATTAATTTATTATATTTTTTATTTATTATATTTTTATTAATATAGATATAATTTATTTATTATATTTTTATTAATATAGATATAATTTATTTATTATATTTTTATTAATATAGATATAATAAAAAAATACAATAAAAAGCATGAGTTGACGTTCTGGAACGGGCCGTTCTGAATTCAGAACGGCCCGTTCTAACAGAAGAACGACCCGTTCTGCTGTTTGGAACGGCCCGTTCCAGTTGCAAAATTAACACAAACATGTGCATGCAAAACGGGCCGTTCTGGTTCCAAGTGTATTCATGACATTTGACATGCATCTAAGCGGCATCCACGTCAGCAGGAGTTAACCACGTCTAAATCATTTAGACGAAAGTCCCAAATTGCAATGATTTAAATTATTAGGAACTAAATTGAGACCTAAAATTAAAATGGGACTAAATTAAAACAAAAAAATTTTATCAGGAACCAAAAATTTTTTTTAACCTAACAAAAAGTTATGCAGAAGTATATAACGTTATCCGATAATCGAACTCACTCTGCAGTAAATCACACTGGACCGGTTAAATAATTCGATGTTCAATTAGGTAAGAATTTAAGTATCCATGACTTGACTCTTATGGTAACATTGATTTTTTAATCCTTTATAGTCACGTTTTTTTTTTAAGTATTGTATTCTGGTGGCTAATAAATAAAAATTCATTTGGCGCATAATGAAGTTTAATACAACATAAATATAAAATGAGTAAATATTCAATTTTATTTCTAAAAGATAATAGAAATGATTGATAGGCATTTGTAAGATTTTTTTATATAATTAAGTTCCTAAATTTTAATTTTATTATATAAATTAGTCATTTTATTATACTTAGTTATTAATTTTGTTATTTTATTGAACAATCAACTATTAAGTGATAGGTTGATATCTATTTTTTTTCTCTCAGTTGCATGCTATCTCTTATAATCACTGAATATTGACAATAATACAAGGTTTTAGTACTTTCTAGATAGTAATGGACATTTTGTCATGATTAAATATTATGGCCATGAGTGCTTTGATTAAAATGAAAGATTGTTGTTAAGTTTTCTATAGTTGGATTTTTTCGTCTCAATTATTCTTAATTCCTTTGTTTGTTCAGACTATAGGGTTAGGATTATAAGTCCTAAATTATTGAATTTGAGGTTTAACAAAATGAGTGATCATTATGAAAGATCATAACAAGAATGTGTGAATCAAATATGGATGTTTCTGCTATATTTAATGAATCACGAAACTCTTCAGGTGAAAGCGAGAAGATCTTTGTGATAATGGTTCTCTATGTTAATTGGGAGAGATGATATGTGTCATTGTGACAATTAACTATTGATTGGTCACGAAACTAATAGAACTAGAAATTGGGTGTAATAGAAAGACTAACTTACATAACCGAACTAAAATTTCGGGTTCCAAATGTTATAAAAAAATCTTTCAAGGACCAATCCACTACCTTTATCATTCTCCAAGGATTAAATTGGGCATTTATTCAATATAAAATAGCGAAAACACGAGTTTAATGTAGTTAAACACCTTTTATACGTCAACAAGAATATCTCAACAAATATTCTTTCTCTCAAACTCATTAATTTTTTTTTTCTAGACAAACTTGAGAAACCCTCCACATTACAAAACCACCTTCTTACATAAGGTGGTGACCTTCTATCATTCTCTTATGTGGTGACCCCTCTCTCTCATGGGTGGTGACCATTTCTTGGTAGTGACACAAATATATATATATATATATATATATATATATATATATAAATAAAACTTAATTTATGTGTGTGTATATAT